TCCTCCCCCTGGACCGAGGCGTTTGGGCAGGTACCCGGCGCTCCCTGCTCTTCCCCTCTCCCGCGCCCCCCGGGACCCTTCCTCTCTCGCCGCCCCACTGTCCCAGGACTGCAGGCTCTTCCGTGAGCTTCTCCTGGGCCTTCAGCCCTAATGCGCAGCCCGGTGTTTCCCTACTCTTAGCCTTTCCAGATGTCAGATGAGTTCCCGCGCCGTTAGTTACGTGGCGTTTGCCGGGCCGAGTGGCACACGACGCGGGGTCTGGCACTCCCTCGCCAATTCTCAGTGCGGCCGCCGTGAGCACTGCGAAGAATGTTCTTAAGGAGTCACGATGCTATTAAGAAACAAAAAAAGTGCTCAGGAATAGGATTCGAAGATAACGGGAAAATTTTCGAACCTTGTATGACAATTGTTTGCTTGTAAATACCAAAAACTTCTTAATTGACATTGTCCTTGTCCTGGAATGCCTTTCTGTTTTGGATGTCCTGGATTTGTGTTGCACTTTGGCTTGACTTAAAAAAAAAAAAATGTTTAGCTTTTGAAATTAAGGCGGTAGGGAGGTGGGAAAAACTAGAGCCCAGGAGGAGATGGTTGATTTGGCTTGATAATGTTTACACCTTATAGAAAGAAAGGCTGAGCCACTTAGTTACCAGAAGTATGGCTAAGAGACCCAGCCCCTTAAAAAAAAAAAAGACAGTACTATCCACGTACTAGACTCTATTATAAGGAGCTTACATACATTTGTGTATATATATATATATAATCTTTCGATATAAGCTTGCTAAATTACAATTCATTTTGCCTATCCTAATAGAGGCCCTGATAAATTTCATCACTAAGTAGAAAAACATTGCATAAGGAAAATAAATGTAGGTTGCACCCATTGCCTCTGTAAAATAGCAGGATTACATATGTATATATATATATATATATATATATATATATATATATATGTCTGCATATATCTGTATACTTTTAAAACCATAAAAAGCTAAGGAGAACAACAAATTGATCCACCAGCACAGCCTGCGGTGGGGTGGATAAACCTACTTTGTTTTTTTGTTTGTTTGTTTTGGGTACCAGGGATCAAACTCCAGGTCTTTGTGCTGGCGAGGCAGGTGACAGAACCACTGAGCTAAATCCCTGGCCGTGGGCAAATCTACTTTGTGTTCACTGAAATACCATGTTGTGTCATGCACTCGTAAAGCTGTTGTTAGGATGCTTCTTTCTTCTGAAATACCTTTCCTCCATTCTCTCCGTGTATATAGTCCTACGCCAACTTCCAAAACCTGTTCAAGAAGCCTCTCTCCAACAGCACCCCTTAACACAATTCATCACTTCTTCCTTCACGCTACAGCCTATGCATGCTTCTGATAATGTGTTAGTGACCAGGGTGACTCCTACACAGTTTGTGTGCAACCATCGTGCCTCCTAGTTCATACTTCAGGTGCCAGTGTTGGAGCCCCCACAATGCCTTAATAACAGAACAGCCAGAAGTCCCGCTGTCACCTCCCTTTAGCCTTTACTCTTTAGCCTTTGGCATTTAGCCCTTTAGCCACCTCTCCATTATACATACAGGGTTTGTCTTGCTTAAGATGGACCTGAAAGGAACAAGCTCCATCTAAAGACTGAGGCAGAAGGGCAGCTGTGGCAAAATTGGCCATGTTTCCTTGAATTCTGAGAGGTGTTTGGCTTATTTTCCAGGATTAGCGGCCTGAACTCCAGAACTATCTTACAGGATAGGCTCCTGGCCAAATTCTAGCAGTGAAAACTCATGGACTACAGAGGCAGGATGCTGAGGCACTGTCTACTGAGTAGGAATTATCTCAGTGGCAAGGCAGCAAAGCTGTTTAGCAGGAGATATAAAGAAAACAAAGGGGAAGATTTATCCCCCATGGATAACTGACAGTGGGGTCAGAACTCTGTCAAAGTCTGGGCCACAGCTTATTTTTCCTGCCTGCTTCAATTTCACCCTGGCCCTTTGGCTCTGCAAACTAAGCTTCAGGCATCAGATTTCAAAATGATTAGCTCTGTTTCCACCCAGAGCTGCTTTCTGGGTGTATGCTCAGTAGGGCTAGATTAGGACTAGATCCAGCTTTTATCACCTGAAGAATTTAGACCCATTATCTTTCTCTTCTTCCCTGGTGACTAATTCCCTTAAGGAAAAAAAAATCCAATTAAGTTCATACATAGTTTTTTTCTATGTCTTTCTTGAAGAACAACTGAAGTTACTTGATCTTTGCATAAGCGTGTGGAAAGCTCAATAATTGCAAGGCTACTGGCTTTTTGATGCCAGCTAATACAGAACAATATACTCATTAGCAGATTTCTTGTGGCTGTAAACTCTAGTATGCATGCATTGTATGTTTCTATTTATGTGTTAGTGTTGGAGAGCTGACCCAGGACCTTATGCATACAAAGCACATGCTCTATCACTGAGATGTGCCCCAAACCTATATTTTTTCCAAACCTATTTTAATATTTTTTATTCCTACTCTGTGTTAGCTGGCTTTCTGTTACTGTAACAAATCCCCTTTGAGTCAATCAATTTAGAAAAAGGTTTATTTTCTAAGTCAACGGTCACAGTTTTGGAGGTTTTAGTCTACAACCAGTTGACTCTGTTATTCTTGGAACTGTGGCAGCAAGAATCTAATGGTGGGCAGTATGTGGTATAGCAAAGCTGTCCACCTCCTGGCTGGAAAGTGAAAAAGAGAAAAGGGAAAGGTCTGGGATTCTGTCATTGCCTTTGATAGCATGTTCTCAGAGACCAGAAGACTTCCTGTTAAGCTCCAACTCTTAATGTTTCTATCACCTCCCAATAGGGCTAATCTGGGGACCAAGGCTTTAACACATGAGCTTTGGGAAACACTATAAACTATAGCATAGCTCCTTACTTGGCCTTAAAGCTTCTAGATTGTAAGATTATGCCTTTTATCTTTATATTCCCAGCACCTAGCAGATTATATGTGCTTTTTTTGTTTTTTTCAGATCTTGTGCTTTCGAGGCAGGCGCGGTGCCACTGAGCTAAATCCCTGGCCTACCTAGCAGATTATCTAACATATTTCTGTGCCTCAGCCCCTGGCTGAAGGGTCCACTGAGTGAGAAATGACTGTGGAAGATTAAGCAAAAGTAAAGAAAGAAAGATGCAAAAACAAACAAAGAAAGAAAGAGAAACAAAGGTGGGCCTAGGTGAGGCTCTAACCCCTAATGGGAGGAAAAGACCCCAAGCAAATGCAGTGGATTTATTTATAGTGGTAGAGATAAGGGAGGTGCAGTGGAAGGTAAAGGGGGCTGGACTGTACCCGGAGCCAGTAGCTAAGGTCTGCAGGACATCAAGCTTGATGGTTTTCTAACGAATGGACTTGGAGGAAAATAGTCCTCTTCTGTCCAGGCCTTGCTCCACCACACCCCTCTTGTCGCCTGTTCTCCCATGGGGCCCTGCCTCATCTGTGGGAGGAAGAGAACAAGATGTGAGTTCCTTGTTCAAATTGCAGGGGGCTGCCTCATCTGCTGGAGGAGGTGAGTTAGGCCTGGCCATAGTGATTTATAGCAGTTCTGGTAATTATTACAATAGTATTAAACCTTTATCACGTGTTTATTCTGACCCAGGCAGACTAGTATATTACAGTACGTGAATTATCTCACAAGAAAAGTTGTATTACCTCCAATTTTAAAAATGAGAAATTTGAGACTTAGGTCAAGAAATTTTCCCCAAATCACATAGCTAGTTAATAGTAAGTGACAGAATTGTGCTTAGTTTCTTTTTGTTGAATTTAATGGTGCCCTACTTACTGAAAAATCTAATTTATGAAATTCAAACACAAAGAACCAGCCAATTAATTTATGATGAACATTTTTCTTACCTGTCAGAGAATGTCCTTTCACTCCAGATTTCGATGAGAAATATATCCAGTCCTCTCTAAATGCTTCAACCCTCCCACCTCTGATGACACAGAATAAACTTGGACAGGATAACTGGACATGTTGGAATTATCTCTGCTGCATTCTTCCTCTTGAGTGATGCAGCACACAGAAAGATACAATCTGCTCTCCCTGGGGGCCATCCCAAGCCCAGCGCTGCTTGAGGTTGCATAAGAATAGCTCTTGAATCTGGATGTCTGTATTAGCCAGGCCTGCGTGGCTGCCAGACCTAAAACCATTCCTTCTGCCCTCACTGCTTATCTTACTCTGTGTTCTTATCCTCAACTTTTCAGAAATAGGGAAAGAGCAACCCATTTCCTGAGTTTTCTAAGAGACCATCCCCAGAATTATCAAAGGGCAAGATAGAGTTTCATTTTCTTTTATTTTTGGCTCTAAACAGTCTGCAAAGGCTGGTTAGAGAAGACATCGAGCAGACAAAAATGATAAAAAGATGAGAAAGCAGAAAGCAGAAACCAAAACCTCACACTGAGTCAGCTGAAGATCACCCAAAATTAAAGCAAGGATCTTGACAAATTAAAGCACAAGTTAAAGACAGATAGCAATTTGCAGCCTGTTTGACTGACTTAACTCTTTGAAGCACATCTAGTTTGTGAAATGAAGCACATGGCTTCCCATAGGCCCCTTGAAATGGTGGGATCTGGAGAAGCTCAGCTGGTCCCAGGGAAATCCCAAACAGGTAGCATAAATTTGAAATGTTTCCTTCATTAAGGCAGTTCAGAACTCATTCATAGAATTTCTTAGGTAGCTGTATCAGTAGTCAGGTGCTTCTGGAAAAATAGAACCAAGAGGAAACACACAACAAAATCTGAACTTCTTGGGACAAGCGAGCAGGCTGGAAATTCAAGCAAGATTTTTATATTATAGTGTAGGAAGAATTCCTTCCTTTCCAGACAACTTCATATTTTGCTCTCAAGACATTCAACTGATTTGATGGAACCCACTCACACTTCGGAGGATAACATGTTTTATTTAATGACTGTAGATGTTAACTGCATCTAAAAAATATATTCACAGCAACATTTTGGCAAATGTTTGAACAAAACATTGAGCCCCATAGGTTAGCCCAATTGATCCATAAAATTTACTATTACAGTAATTTAAACATTATTTTAAAAAACTTCAACAAAGCAATATTTATGTATGAGCTGGGCTTGACTTGCAGGCTCCCAACATGCAGTATTTTCTCCAAATGATAGAGCAAGTACCTTGGCCCGCTAAAGGTTACAGTGTAAATGTACCCTAATCCTATACCCACTGTATAACTGGAATAACATCCATCGTAACAAGAACTCTGCTGTGAAGGTACAAGGTCCTGCCCTTTGGGAAACTATGTGTAAATAGACCAGGGTGGGGAGAGTTCTTTTAAACCACTGCATCAATGGGATCCTGTTCATAAACAAAACACTTCTCTCTCTGACCCTTTTCTCCCTCCCTCCCTCTCTCTCTCTCTCTCTCTCTCTCTCTCTCTCTCTCTCTTCTTTTCTCTTTCTTTGAGGGTGGTTTACCAGGGATCAAACTCAGGTCCTTGCACTTGGCAAGGCAGGCAGCAAAACCAATGAGCTAAATTCCTGACCCCTCTCTGACACTTATTAACTCATTAAATTATTTGCACTGTAAAACCCAACCTTCTGTTGCTGGAGAGAGATTAGAGAGTCTCTGAATGGAGAGCTGAGAGACAGAGATAATAAATTGGAGCCCACAAAGAATCTACGGTTTTTTCAGTCTGTGTTTATCAGTCAGCCCATTTCCTGTCCCTCTCCTGACTGAGGAAGGTGACCCTTTTAGTCTTTCACACAATTCTTTTTAACTTGTATTTTTCTTTCAACAGACCTTGAAACAGCCCAGAAAATGGAGGCATGCTGTAAAATTGATTGGTCATCGATTTGCAAGTAGATTTTATATATTATGACTATTTTTTAAATTTTTTGTATGTATTATAATTGTTTTTCCTAATTTTTAAAATGCTCTGTTTTTCCTCATAATGCTGTACATGCTTTTAGCTTTGCTGAGTACTGTATATTCAGACAGTGTAGGCACTAAACATGTGACTAAAATGGGCCCTTGAAAAGAACTGATGCATATTGGTAATATCTCATAGGAAACCTAATTTTACTAAAAGTTGGGATGATAGACCTAAAATTGTTTTGGGAAAATACGCATCTTTGTGATTTTTAAAATTCCAACATAAATTAGTTTTATGCAGCAATCATCATACAAAAATAATAACAGTTATGATTCAGTGGAACTTTTTAGGAAATAAACCTAGTTTATCTGTTTTAAATTCTCTTCCCCGATGTCTCATTTTCAAAAGTATGTCGTTATGATTTTGTTTCTACTGCAAAGGCCACTGAGAGTCATTATTTCTGAAGAAATAAAAAATAGAAAGTGGGGGGCCCATATCATCAGCCATTTAGCTAGTCTTTGGGGGAAAATAGCTCTCTGGCTTGCTATACCTGAATTTGCCCCTTTTGAATGGATTTTGTCCTTGTCAAACTCATGCTTTTGATAGTAAAAACTGTAGTTTAAATGAGGATGCTATTCACTGAAGGCATTGCTCCAAATTGTTCTTTTGTGATATCAGTCTTCGACCAAAGTCAAACAGATTTTCCCTTATGCCAAATTCTGCAGTACAGCCCATAGAAGTCTTAGTCATTTTCTTTGTTGCTGGGACAAAATACACCCACAACTTAAAGGCAGAGAGGTTTATTTTGGCTTATGGTATTAGAGGATTCAGTTCATGGTTAGGAAGTAAGGGGATGGTAGAAGGGTCTGGTGGGGGAAAGTGGCTCAAGTCATGGTAGCTACAAAGCTGAGAGAGAAGGGAGGAGTTGGGGAGAGAGTTGTACCCTTCCCGGTTAACAACCTACCCCTATTGCCTCTTTCCAGCCAGACCCCGCAGCACAGTGAACTATGGAGTCATCAGTTTGTTAATCCACTGAGTATAGTGCTTTTATGATCTATCCAAGGCCAGACTTGTTTAAAAAACAAACAAAAAACAAAATAAAAAAAAAGCCTCTCATAGAATATGATAATCTGTAAATGTGATTTCTATTTTTTGTTTTTGATTTTTGCAGTTTTGGTGCTCAGACACAGGCAGGGCCTTGTGCATACTTGGCAACTGCTGTACCACTGAGCTATATCCCCGTCTGGGTAATTTGTGTGTGTGTGTGTGTGTGTGTGTGTGTGTGTGTGTGTGTGTATGTGTGTGTGTGTTTACAAATATGCTCATGTTCATCTTCCTACTGAAATGTGTGCTTTTTGAAAACAAGAATCTTGTCCCATATAACTCTGTATTTCCCTCCAGGTCTACCTCTGTGTGTTGCATATTGTAGATGTTAAGTAAATATGATTTAATAGACAAATAATTCTATTTTCAGAGCAGTAACATGTAGAGTTGGAAATGAGCATCCCTTTTATTTAAGACATTGAACTAATCAAAGTTGATACAAGAACAACCTTGAGATGCTTGCCTGTTCCAGGAAGAAGGTTATCATTAGTGTTTCCTGTAACTACTCCACAACTGTGCCCTTATGTAAACTTCCTGAATGTGGTAAGAAAAACTGTCTGGGCCTGCTTTTATGGAGTGTCTGGATGCGTCTTTTTTCCTGTGTCTCCTAGGAGGACCTAGCTCTTTTCAAGATCCAAGATGAAGATAGCATTATTATTTGCCAAGAGTTTCCAAAGGTAATTTTGTAATATTATCTGAGATCAAACTATGAAGGACGGGTAACTAGGAAAACCTAATCAGAATACACCATATGCAAGTGTGAGATGCTGAGGGCAGACAAGCAAGCATTATAATTTTGCCTGTAATTTTTTTAAGAAATATTGTTCCTCGAGTAGACAAATCAGGGAGCTATTGCTCCACCAAGTAGGAGCAGTAAATGGCCTTGAGGGTCTTTCTTGTTTCCTTTACTATGAAGGAGTTTGAATTTTATGGTCAAGAAGGCACACCTTGTGAAGTCATGAAAATGTAAGGTAGGCTTAGGTACTGCACAGTGGGTGAACTCAGGTAATGTGGCACATTCCTGTGATGCCAGTACTCTGGAAGACTGAGGCAGGAGGATTAGCAAGTTTTAGCCCAGCTAGGACAATTTAGAATCTTAGAGAGACCCTCTCTCAAAATAAAAATAAAATAAAAAGGACTAGGGATGTATTAGCTCAATGTGTAGGCTCTGAGTTCAATCTCTAGTATGCAAAAATAGGCATGCCCTTCATGAATCTCAACCAATCAGTTTTAAGGTCTCTCCATACCCTCAAATACCTTTAATCTTGATGATAAATCTTTATTGCATGAATAAGCAAAATTGATTACAAGGCATGACATGATCAGATGTTATTCATTCTGACACAGCCTCATAGTATCAGGTTCAATTACCACATGCCAATAAAGGCATTCCAGGAAATGCTGATACAATGAATAGTGTTAAAATCACATGTATCTCTTAAATACAAGAAGAAGAAAACATAAGCACTTGACAATCTTAAGAAGTTATTTTGAGAGTCATGCTGAAGGTAACTCCTGAGCACAGGTCTCACGGCCTCTGCCCCACCCTCATGAGATGAGAGACATCCGAGACTGTGCCACTGTCCCTATGGCTACCAGGGAAGCTGGGGACTGCAGCTGACAATATGTGTGTGGGGGGTGGGGGGTTTGTTACAAAGAATGTCACAAAGACTGTCTCCGTTCTGCCAGGACCAGGAGCTCCCAGGCTTCCCAGACCTTCTGAAGGGCAAGTTTCCAGGATTCCTCTCTGAGGTGGCTTGCAGGTTTGTTATGAGGCCTTCCTGGCCACATGCTGGTCCACTTCCAGCAGGCCACAGGAAGCTCGGTGAGTGCAGCTGCAGCCTAGTGTTCTCTGGGTGGGCCTTGCAAATGCCTTGGATGACTTCCAGGAGCCAAAAGGTAAGGTTTCACATGGGTCCTGAGGGAAGATTGATGTTCTTGGGTATGGGAAATCCTGCACCAGAGGGACAAGCCTCCCTCCTGTCTTGTGCTGAGAGAGGTTCATAGCCTGTCTACATGCAGATTCACCGGATCTAGGACCAGGACCTGGTCCTAGATTAGCTGCTGCTAATCCCAACCCAGGCCCAGGTGCTACCTGCTTGCTTGCTCACTGACTGAGGCTCTGCTGGCTTGTCCCCACTCCTGTCCCCTACTTGTGGATCTCAGGCTGCCAGCACAACCTCTGCCCCTGCCACTTCTCCATGTGGGCATGGCTGCTGTAGGAAGAGTGAATCCACAGATCACCAACTGCTTAAAAATAAATAAAAATTCTTCTAAGGAGGGAAGCCTACTGAAATACATTACATCACAATCATGGATAAAGAAAACGGTCTTGTTCAACTTGCTTGGGTCATGTTCAACATGCAGCAAAATTAGAGGATATAAAAATCACCAAAGATATTACTAAGATTATAAATCACAGGCTCAAATAGATTTAGGTAAATTTATTGTACAGTAAATTTTAGAAAAATCAGGGATGTTGCATTTTTCTTTCCTTTCTTCTCAATCTGAAAGCTTAGAAGCTTGGCTTCATGGAAAGAACCTAACAAAAATGTCATTTGCAAATAATGACAATTTGACTTCTTCATTTCCTATCTTTATTCCTTTTATTTCTTTCTCTTGACTAATTGCTGTGACTAATGTTTCCAGAACTATATCGAACAGGAGTGGTGATAGTGGACATCCTTGTCTTGTTCTGAAAAAAAATTTTTTTTGGTACCAGAGATTGAACTCAGGACCTTGCACATGTGAGGCAGGCAGCGGCACCACTGAGCTACATCTCTGGCCCTGTCTTGTTCTGATTTTAGTGTGAAGGTTTTCAGTTTTTGGCCATTTAGCATGATATTGGCTATTGGTTTTTCTTTGATGGCTTTAATCAGGTTGAGATAGAGACCATCTATTGCAATTTTCTGTAGGGTTTTTATCATGAATGTATGTTGAATTTTGTCAAATGCTTTTTCTGCATCTATTGAGATGATCATATGGTTTTTGTTCTTGGCTCTATTAATATACTGTATTACATTTATTGATTTACATATGTTGAACCATCCCTGCATCTAAAATGGAGTACTATTTAGCCATAAAGAGACATTAGAGGGCAGAGGATTTAGCTCAGTGGCACTGCACCTGCCTAGCAGGTGCAAAGTCCTGAGTTGGATCCCTGGTATCAAAATTACAAACAAAAAAGAATGAGAAACTAGAGACATTTATAGCTAAAAGGATGCACACTGAGGCAGTACTCTTAAGTGAAATAAATAGGACATGTATAAATACCAATAAATTGAAAGTGTAAAGATCAAAATATATGATAGTGTGAAATAGGAAGAAAAGGTGCAAAGGGGAAGGGGAGTTGGGAGGGGAAGGGGAAAAGAAAGAAGGGAAAAGAAAAAATATGAGAAAAGTAAAAAAAATGGAAACAAGTCTTTGTAAATAGGGAGGGATTACAGGGTTGAAAGGAGGGCAAGGTAATGGGGAAAAAATAAGAAGCAATATACATCATGTAAAGGTACATAATGAATGTCAGCATATTATATACACCTAAAAGGTACCAATAAAATTAATGAAAAAAATCATGACTCTGTTCTCAGAATTGTAGACTAGAGTATGAAAAGGAATAATTCATTTCTCTTTCTTTGCCTGTCCTTCTCAATTGCTTTAATTCCCATTTGCATGATTATTCTGAAATCTATAGTTTGTTTCCATGTCTTGAAAAGTAAAATCATGAAAAGAAACAATTTCAGACAAGATCGGGCATGGCAGGGTGGCGTGGCTGCTGACCTTACAGGCGATTTCAGATGGGAAAGAAGGAAATCATACTTTGGCTATAACAATTAGGTGGGAAGAAGAGATGGAATACTGATTAATCCTGATAAGCTGAAACCATCCTTTAAATCCTTTACTATGGGCCACATTTTGCACTATTTACTTGTATTTCATTAGGGGAGATTCAAAGGAGGGATGACATTATAGATGAATGAGTGAAATTCCTTCCCATTTACTTGTGTACATGATTCCTCTAATGTGGACTTTTTTTAAATCTCAAAAAATTTATACAATCTACATGTCGAAAAAAAGTCATAGTCAGACTTGACTATGCAGTTAATAGCAGATCATAGGGTAATAAATAGGTCTACAGGTCTGGAAGCAAGAAATCTCTAAGTGCTGATTTTTTTTCTAAGTTTATGGGAGGAACAAATATTAAAGACATAGTCTTTGAGTTAAAGACTAATCACTGCCCTCTAACACAACCAGGGTTTTTCCCCTTTTACTATGACAGAAGTGACAGGATTTTAAAGATTAGATTGCAAAGGGACTGTGCCTCCCATCTTCCCTTGTTGGACATCCTGGGTTGTTCTGTCTGATGGAAGCTGGTACCACATTGTGAGAGGCTCAGTGGAAAGGCCCAGGTGGCAGGGAACTGGGAAGGCCCTTAGCCAATGAGGAACTAAGGTTCCTAGTTCAGTAGCCCATTAAGAACTGAGGTCTGCTACCAGCTAGGTGGGTGAATTTGCAGACAGGGCCTCCCTGAGCCCCTCTGTAGCTGGGCTTACAGATAAGCTCACAGCCCTTGTAACGCCTTAATTGCAGAGAGTCTGACAGCTGAGGTGCCCACTGAGCTACCTCTGTAATCACAGCCCCAGAGACGACAGAGGGAGAGCCAAATCCTACCAGGGCTGTAGCTCTGCCCATGGAGTAGGAGGCAAGAGTTGAGTACCAACGACCAATTATGGTTTTCTTGGAACTTATGCCAGGAAAGATGAGGTGAGACGATTTAGGAGTGGTAAGGGCCAATGAAAATGTGGTGAGACTCATAGATTGGAGGTCCCAGTGGGGTTGAAAAGTTGTTGGAGCTTTAGTACTGGAATGAGCAGGACAGACAGTATTGGTAGTCAGAAAGCGAGCAAAATAGCATCTTTATTTGAAGCTAGAAAATTTGAACATTTTATTGTCTGGGGACCACTTGCCTACTAACCATTAAGCTCCCCCCTTTCTGTGTGTGTGTGTGTGTGTGTGTGTGTGTGTGTGTGTGTGTGTGTGGTCTTACTTCTTCCTCTTCCTAGTTTATTCTTGCAGCCCCTCTAAATGACACAACTGCATGAAATCAGGTCTTGCTTGTGTTCAGTCTTTTTGAAGAAATCCAGTATTATATTTTCCCAATTATATGCATACAGTAGCTCTTTATAATACAGTAATTCATGTAGATTATTCAATTTTCCTCCAAACCAGCACATGGCTTTTGCTATTTGAGAAAAATGAACTATGTCTCATGCATTATTTATAGATTACTGTCACCCCCACTCTTTTTTGCCCATTTATCAGAAAAATCATAGGTTAGGCTAAACTAAGAAACTTATAAAAACCAGTTTTTTTGTGATAAGCAATGCAAAAGAAATGGCAAAAACTGCTTAGATATGTTAAAGGAATAAAAATAAAAATCCTAACTTGCTCTTTTACTCCTTTAAAGTCTTTAATATATCAGTTCATTTTCAGATACAAGAGCCATTAATGGTTTTTGAGTCTCCAGGGGCATTCGGTTCTATAAATGTTTAGTTCCCTTAAACTGAGTACCCATTAAGCTGCATACAAAAATATCTGCAAAGGCTTTTTTTGGGGTAGGAATTCTAGCAATAACCACTCATTGAATTAAAAATATAATACAGAACACAGCCATGTGGAAATGAAATGACCCGTGCTCACTGTATGCCAATATTAAGAGTGCAGGATGAGTTATAACTTGGGGACTGAATAGAAACAGAGTCTATTTCAACACCGTGTTTTACTCAGTGGTGACCCCAGAAAATACTGTTGAGGTAGTTTAGATTCATTTCCCTAAACTGATGGTAGCTGAGAGTGAGGTGAAGGCTATTCCACAGTGCCAATAGGAAAGTCAGGAATCTAAGCTATTTCTGGATCATCTTTGTGAAAGATTTCCAAGTCTCTATGGTGCTTTTCCTTTAGGCACAGGGGATATTTTCATGAGCACAGACCAGTGCTGGTGCTGCCTTCCAAGAAGCACAGCACAGTTTCCAGTTATGCTGCATCAGTGAACCTTTCAGGCAAGACCATGCAGCTTCATCCTGATCTCCTCTGAAGACTTCACTACTTTCCTTTTCACCTAGAAAGGCAATGTTTGGGGAAGAGATTGGGATTAATGTGCAAGGAACAGTAAGGAAACTGGGACTAGAAAAGGGAAACTGGAAAGCTTTTCCATCATTCCATAGGGTCCTTCGTGGGAGACTGTATGTTACCTTTTTACTGCTGTGATAAAATGTGTGACATACACAACTTAAAGGAGAAAATGTTTATTTTGGCTCACAGTTTCAATTTATGGCCTGTTGGCTTTAAGGCAGAAACATGGCAGAATAGCATGGAACGGGAAAGCTGTTCATTTCATGGCCACCAGGAAGCAGAGGGAGAGTGAAATAGCTAGTCAGAGGGGACTGGGTCTAAAACAAGAACAACCCTTCCAGGTCACTCCCCTAGTGACTTGTGTGTTCCAACCAGGCCCTACCACCTAACAGTTCCTTCAGTTCTAAATGGATTAATCCATTGATAAGATTAATGGCCCCATGATCTAATCACTTTCTCAAAGCTCTACCTCTAAATGCATGAGTCTTTGGGGGGACATTTTTAAAAAATCAAAACTACAACAAGGATACTCGTTCTTTTACTTCAAAATATAAGATCCAGAACATTAGCCAAATACTTAGTCTAACCAAGATTTAAAGTAGCACACTGATTCCTCCTAAACAATTTACTTAAAATTACACATATCATTTGTGTGAAAATTAACACCAAATTGCAAAACGCTTTACACTTGCAACGTAGAAATAATTTTGTTCCTGAGTTCTGGTCCTGAGGATGACAAATAAATAAAATGAGTATATTTTTTTTATTTGAACAGACCAAACAATGGAATACTCTTGAGTTGTATTTAACTGATGGGAAAATATGCTACATTAGAATTAATGTAAGAACTTCAGGATTTTTTTTTTTTTTTGAGACAGGGTCTCACTATGTAGTTGAGACTGACCTGGAACTCACTATGTTGCCCAGGTTGGTCTCAAACTCATAGTGATCCTCCTGCCTCAGCCTTCTGAGTGCTGGATGTTTTGTTATGCGTGCATTTAAAGTTAGATTCAAAGGGCTAGGGGTGTAGCTCATCGGTAGAATGCTTGTCTAGCATGCATGAGGCCCTGGATTCCATCCCCAGGACTGAAAAAAAAAATCATACATATAAACACATGAATCTCCACTCAGCACTCACTCTCAATTCCAGGGATGGAGGTGGGGAACACAACCTCAGACTGCATTTGACATGTCTGGTTAATAATGAGGTTCTTTTGCCCATAGCAAGGTATAGATGCAAAACTTCACTACTTAGTAGGTAATGACATCTGTATAAAAGGAGTCAGCTGACACCTCAGCCAACAGGGCAGAAAATGTGCAGCTTTTACTGTTGCTCAGGCTATATTTTTCAAGTTTTAGTTTTTCTTTCATACTGTGCATTTATTTCCCTTGGATGTATTCGTGGGTATGTTCCTTAACTAAGCTATTTTAAGTGTAAACTTTATTCTTAGCTCTTTATCCTCAGTTTCATTCTGCTATGTGAAATGCTCTCAGACAGACATTACTTCAGTTTGAATGATAACTGATGAATGAGGCTTCACTACTGGTCCAGAGCACTGAAAGAGGCTTTTTATACATAAGTATAATAATATTTTATTTTGTGAAGCTTTCACTTTCGAAGTGGTCTCTTGAACGGGATGTCAACAGAAAATTAAGGAAGTTTCAGAATTTCTCATTAGACTATGACTTGTGGGGAAGATGAGAGGAAATGGCTTTTAATTGTTACATTACTGGAAATCTTTGTGGTAATATGGAAAAGTATAAACTAACTCCAACAAAACCCTGTTTTTCCTGATCCCACTGGTGTAAAGTTACAGATTTATGTTACTTTCCAAGGCTAATTCAATTTTATGGAAATGTAATGAATATTGAGCACCTACCAGACCACTCATTATGTAGTCCAGCTCACTGCTCCCTTACAAGCAATCCAGTTATCTTGTCTCTTCTGTGGTGCATATATGTGGGAGAGGCTGCTTGTACTCTCGGTCAGCGTGCTTGTGAGGCAGCCTGGAGAAGTCCTGCCTACTTTTGGTCACTTTGTTGGCTTTATAAGGCATTGCAGAAAGCAGACAGGTAACCACAGGTCTGCCAGATGCATTTCTTCTTGGAAGACATTCTGAAGAGTCATCTTCTTGAGGGGCACCGTTTTGCTTATGTGATGAATTCTTTTTGATGTAAAAGTAGGACAGAGAATTTCAACCAGTTCTGCAGAAACAGCACTTTGGTTTCCAGACTTCACAATGTCATCTAGCTGGCATTCTTTATGACTGAGGTTATCTTAAAACAAAAAAGGGAGGAAAGCTTTTCTGTGCTTTGGGTAGGAGACGAATTTGCTTTGGTAGAATCTGTGGCTGAGGAAAGCTGAAAGGGCCTGGCTGAAGAAGACATATGTCACCACTAGCCACCAAGTTAAGTTGTGAAACCCAAAGGTGACAGCCATGGAGATATAGATCATCAGCTCTGCTAAGTAGTTAGGGGAAGAAACATATTCAAACCAGTCTCCAAAGGGGATCCTGTGGTTGCAGTGAATGACCACTCCTGAAATGTTAAAAGATGCCTTTGTGAGTATTTGAAGTCTTGAAACAAAGTTTTACCACTTTACCCCTTACATCATCTTGCTTATTTAAAGGAGAGTTTCACACAGCTGTGTGCAAACCACCATCCTGTCACACTTCCCCTGACAACCTACTGTGTATCAGAAAGTCACATGCTGAGGTTACACAGTCACTGTTCAGGAGCACAAAGGACTGCCAGTCCCCCCAGCAACCTTCTATACCAGCCTCTGAGAGCTCAGACTGGAGTCAGAACACCCGAGTTCAAATGTTGGTTCTCCCACTTACTAGCTATGTAACTTCAGCTAAGTGCCTCATTTTTCTCATCTGTAAAATGAGGGTTACACTGTACTCATCTCATGTGAAGCGGTAGCATTTACAAGACTTCACACATAACAGGCACTGGATAAATATTAAATAATACATTTTAATTTTTAGAATTTCAAATAGCTGAGTGGAAACTACCTGTGATAAGTCCATAACAAGCTAACTAGAAGGTCAAGCTGGTTTGCTTGGCTGGGATACTAACTCTGCAGTAATATGAGCTCTCATACGTGGATCAACACACTTACACAGTGCAATCCCCGAATGTGGGCACAGCATGGACTCACAGCTGTCAGGGCTGGTTAGGGCCAGAGACTATCAGAGGACGGCTCTTATTTTATAGATGGGAAGATTTGGCTGTGGAGAAGTGTCTTGTCAAAAACGAGTATCTGACATAGATTAGTTAACTAACTAGGGCAGGAAGGAAATAAAGGAAAGCAGAAAACTAACTTCTGAGGCTTACCAACTGCATGCAGAGCCTATACAAGAGATCTCACCTGCCTTATTTCTCCTGAGCTTGCCGAGAATGACGTGGCATCTATACTGGTGGACAGATGACCAGATGAACATCATCATCCCAAGGATATGGAACCACCGTGCTTGCATGAACAGATTTTTCCCTGTTACATACACTATGGAAATAAGAATTATCTTATTAGCCAGGTTTGCAAAATTTCAGAGGCTTGGGGAATTAAAAACAATTATACTACCCTGGTGTAATTTTGTTATGGTTTGTATCTAGATGTACGCACCCCTGCAAGCCTTATGCAGCCATAGGTGGGGCTTTTTCAGAGGTGAATGGATCTAAAATGTGTGATTGATTCATAGTGCGATGCTGGGATTAAAGGTGGGTGATTACTAAAACAGTTCACTGAGTAGTTTGGCATCGCCTTAATATCAGGAGTCTGGCTACAATATAAGGGGCAAAAAGGGGCTTGTCTTATCCCTCACTTGCTTTAGTACCTTCTGGCTGCCATAGACTGTGTCTCTTCTGAAATGCCTGTCTGCTCTGCCACCTTGCCTTGGAGCCAGCTGAGTATGGACTGAAACCTCTAAGAACTGTGCGCTGAAATAAAAAACACAAAAAAACCTTTCCTCCTTTAACTTTGGGTGTCAGGTATATTGTCTTAGCACTGAGAAAAGTAACTAAGACACATTTCCACTAGGCTGGGGAGGTATGTTCCTCAGACAAGCACAGCTTCACTGACTGGCAGCAGAGAAGTCCATGTTGACATCCTCTTGTTCCTCCTTCAAATACTTTAGGCACCATCTTCTTCAAATGCTCAGCACCATTTCAGGTGATCTGCTCTTGTGTGTGATGAGACTGCCTTGTGTTTCCACTGCTAAGCCCCATTTTAAGTCTCCTTATGTTTAAATGTCAGGAGAACACTTTCTGAAGAAATTTCTCTCTGAGCTACCATTCTGAGCCCAGGTAAGGAGATCCTGATGCAAAATGCAGAGTTGTCTGGTGCTGGCCAGTGCAAAGTCCTCACAGGTAAAGTCAGAGAGAAGCACAGAAAATACAAACCACAAGACAAACAACAGTTTCTCTTTCTGTATTAGAGAGATCCTATTCTGGCAGAGCATTTCCTGTATTACTTTCTTCCTCCTCCTCTGGCTCCCAGGAAGGAAGGAAGAAGGCAGCCCACAGGAGGACATGAAAAGCATGCAAATGGCATCAGAAAAGCCATAGATGGCCTCCCTATGACCAGCAGGATGCAGTTGGCCTAGCCCATCTTTACTGAAGAGATAAAATTATCCATTGATAATAGAAAAGAGCCTGGGATGCTGGAACCAAGAAGGAACTCCTGAAAGGTAAAACTTGAGAACCAAGGGTCGTCCTGCTTCCTAGGAACCTTTACCAGGTGGGAGTCAGTGCAGATAGCGAATTACTAGTAAGAGCCCACCAAAGTCCACCATGTCAATAAAAATAAGCAAAATATGAAAAATATAGTTTTAAATCTGATAGGCTTCAAATGCAAGTCACTATAGGACTGAAAGTTAAAGTGAGCATCCAGGAGTTTACATCACTAAGTATCAAATCCCCCACTCTATAACAGAGGCATCACCTATGAGGGAACAAGAATTTATAAGACTAAGGACAGAATTACAATGCAGGGAAGGGATAATATGCATAATCATAGTTATTTACTAATTATCGAGTGCCTCTAAGCCTAGCTCTGCTGTAGGCACAAAGAATAAAGCAGCAAGTCAGGCAACATCCTAGATCTTAGGAAGCTTTTGTTCTGGTTTACAGACCTTCTTTTCACTTTCATATGGATCCTAAGGAGTAAGCCTGTGCTCCTATTTATGACAGAAACTCTTAGGTCAGAGAGATTTGGTAAGGCAGATGCAGGCCGCGTGGAACCCCAAGCCCATGTTATTTCTATTAGACACTGCAGCTTGCAAATCCCCCAATGAGTCCTCTCTCAAAGAATTACTGAAACTAGCTCTCCCTAAATCATCCCAATGACCCCAGATGACCTTTTGACATAAAATAGAAAACAGATCCAGAAAGGAGTGTTTAGAAAGTACTTTCTGTGGCTGCCTCTCTTTGACTTTTTTATGAGAGAGGGAAGGCAGAAAGTAGGATCCAGGGAACTCTTAAAGGGATATGCAGTGCCAACAGAAGCTGACAGACTGAAAGCTAGCAGGTTACCAAAGAGCTCTAGAGAGTTCCTTGGGTGAGAAGCCAGGAATGATAGCTCCTGTCTCAGTATTGATGGAATGTGTGAATGCCACAGCTGAAAACCCAGGGAGGAAAAACTAACTCGAGTAAGTGCAGAGGAATTAGATGGAGAGATGCTGGCTGAGTGGCTGTGGCCAACAAGTAATTCATGAATTGAGCAATAATCCCTACTATAAAATCTTTCCTGTACGGATTGGGTTTATAGCTCAGTGGCAGAGTTTGCCTAGCATTTTTGAGGCCCTGGGGCTCAAGTTCCAGTACCACCACCACCACTGAAAAAAAATCCGCCCCAAATCCCCAAAAACTTTCCTCTAACCAAAGAGGCTGTATTTAGTGGAGAAAGGACCCTAAGGAGCACTCATTTCTCATGCCAAAATCAGACCTGAAGGGGAGGGAGGCTCACTCAATGAGTGTTGGGACTACTAGATCTCAATCTCATTTACAAGGATTCATGTGGCAGCATTAGGAAACATGAAGCCCAGGGCTCAGAGAAAATGGTCAGGAAAGATCTACAGTGTCTGGACTGAAGAATCCCAAGGTCAAGTTAACCTCAGCACTAAAAACTTAATCACCGAAAATGATCTGAATTCTTTATAATACATATACACTGTTTTTATAAAAATGACACTCACTTAGGTAGACCTCCAATGCCCCTAAATAAAGCAACAAACCACTTTTACTTCGCAGAAACAGAGCTTGGCTTCCCTCTTCCTTGCTAGAGAGAGCTTTGGAACATTAAGGCCTCTGTCCTCTTCCCGGTGAAATGGTTCTGCTCTCTCTTCCAATCTGGACTACTCAGCAGGAGCACCGCTCCTCTCCTCTCCTCTTCCAGGGTTTAACCCTGCACCCCAGGAGGCTGAGGCTTCCCCAAGGCCATTTCCTTTGCCGGCACTTTCACCTGCTCTTGGCCACTCTCCTGCTTCCTGTTTTGCACTTGGCCACACTCCCTCCCTTGCCACAGACTAGGCCCATGTGGCTGTGCTAGGTTCAGTCCCTTCAGGGAACCTCATACCCTATTTTGTCATCCTTAAGCCGAGCCTTGTGAATGTTGCACACTTTGCTGTCTTCACGGAAGGCATAGCTGCTTATGTTGGCTCCTTTAAGGCTTTAGCAATTACAGTTGATACGCCTTGGGCATGTTGAGTTTTTTGCATTGATTACTGGAGTCCAAGAAGCTTTCATGTTGGGTCAACTCTAAATTCTGGACTCCTCAATGCTGTGTGGAGCCATGGCCTTGGGAGTGCCTCGTACAGCCTGTGCCTAGAGCCGAGGCAGGGGCTACTCACCATTCCTGCCATCCATTGGCACTTGGCTCAGCACAGTCAGACCAACAAGGACATAATAGATGAGGCCAAAACAATACTGCACGACGTGGATCACAGCATCGGAGAAGACACTGACATAGAAGCACTCGAAGAGTCTCCGCCAGCTGTGAAGCCACAGGGACAGGAGTACCAAGAAGACAGATAGTGCCAGCTCACCACCTATAAATCAGAAGGCCACATGTTCAGCATTTCTCTTCTGGGGTTAAACCAAAGTTTGGTTTTTTCCTAATATTAAACAAAGCATTAAGAATGATTAAGAGTTGTGAAAGGGCTTAAAAATCATCTAGTCTAGCTAGCACCTTCCTCTTTTTAGTAGTGAGGACATGGGTCAGTTGAAGCCATGAAGTTTGGCTCAAGGTTATGCAGTTCATTAATAACAGAGCAGGGCAAACAGCCATCTCGACTCTGCTACACCATGTGAAAGCCATCCAGTTTGTCACTGAGAAGGGGGATGTGCTCAGAACCCAGGGTCTGTGAGTATCTGGCTCCTGGTATCACTGGATGCAAATAGGAAGAGTTCCCAGCTGGCCTCAGAACAATCCTACCAGGCAGAATGCCCATGTACCCACAGAGGTAGAGGCAGGAATAAAAATACAGTTATACACTTCTTTCCATACTGAAACAAAAAAGAGAAGGGCTTGCGGTATAGCTCAGTGGTACAGCACTTGACTAGCCTGCATGAGGCCCTGGGTTCAAGCCCAAGAAACGCCAAAAGAACAACAAAAGCTTTCAGGGTGATAGCCCTGAAATCTACCCTCTTGCCAGTCTCTCATCCCTTGGTCCACAAAGAAGTCTGAAAGTAGCTTATTTTTAAAAGAACATAAAACCTAGTTTTTCTTTTTTAAAAATGAGTAACACATAAGTCATAAGGCTATGGCAGTGCATCCCACCCAACAAACCAACATCCAGATCAAGAAGCAATGTTCCTGCCCAAGCACCACTCCCTGATTACCCACCACAAGGCTATCTACCCCTGTCCTGATTTCTATCAATTCAGATTAGCTTTGCTCTTTTTATATATTCAATAAATTAAACCAAGTCATTAACTCTTTAGGAACAGATTAAAGCAAACTCTCCCCAGCAAAAAGTTCAAGTGCCGATGTTTCAATGAGCGAGGGGTGATTTGCTGTGACACCTCCTTCCCAGCAGAATGTGCAAGGGTTTGTCCATTCTCCCTCTCTCTGCAGATTAATGGGATTCATTTTGGCAGATTTGTACAAGCACATAACAATCATTCCCCCATCACACCCCATATCCAGCCCTCCCTGATAGTTTCATATGTAGGATTTCTCTAAGATTCTCTCCTTTCATTTTTTTTTTTCCAGCAAGTTTGCTGTACAGTTTGGCTGCTAGAACAAAAGATAGAGACAAAGACAGAGAACAATTTGTTTCTAATTGTGCCTGACTTTAACTGAGGCCACAGCATGGCTTTCACTTTCAATTTTTATTTGCTTATTTATTTGAGATGAGGTCTTGCTTTGTTTTCAGGGCTGGTCCTGAATTCCTAGGTTCAAGTTACTCTCCTGCCTCAGCCTCCTGAGTAGCTGGGGCCACAGATGTGCCCCACCACATCTGCTCCTGTTCTTTCATTAACAACTGTTCTGTGTATCCCTTATCTGCTGCTGTGGTATATTTAAAGACCATTTTGTAGAAGTCTGGACCAGGTAATAGTATATAACCAAAATTTATAGCATCACAAACCTTTTCATGTTTACTAAAAACTAATGCATAATCAAATTTCTGTGAGTTCTGAGACATGATTTTGGCTGAACTGTATAAATGTTAAATGTTGTAAGGTAAACCTGAAGGATCCCAAAAGCTTCCTCCTCATGTGTACTGACTTCTCCATAAATTTATCAGCAGTATTGTACTAAAATTATCTGGGGGAGAACAGCCAGTCCTGGCCACTGCTCTGTGCTTGGGGAGTCAGGATTGGAGTGCTAACTAACTCTGGGCTTGGGGACACTGTGGCCTTGGAGAGCAAACCTCATTTGTCCAGACTTCAGGGGCCCTGTGGGGGTGGGGGTGGGGTGGTGCCTGAGAGAGGTAAGGACTGGGAGCTCAGCTGCCAGCACAGGGCAGCCAGAGAACAAGCTCAGTGATGGAGGGGGTCAGGGGGTCTCACCTGGGGACTGCTCCGCCCCAAGAATTCTGAGCAGAAGGTGAAGCCAGCTTGGCAGAGGCACTCCCAGGAACACGGACTGAGTAAGGAACCAAAGTAGGAAGCCATTCCACAGCACAGAGATGATATAGAAATGAGAAAAATACCTGCAAAAGGAAAAGGAGTTAGGCAGTCACTAAGGTAGAATGGTGCTAAGCTCTGACACAGGAACATTAGTTTTAGATCCTCTACTCCCGGGCCTCAACTCAAAGTAGAGCTTTTAAAAAATAACTCGAATCCTGCAGGTGTTCAAATGTTTTAACATTTCCTTTCTAATGACAACACCAGTGAGCTTGTGTGTGGCGGGGAGAGGCCTGTCTGAGATTATCAAGAACACCAGGGATCTTATTAACTTGGCCTGAGGGTCAAGGGGCAATCTCTTATCTCTGGTAAGAGAACTGGGCTCAAGTTCCAAAAATGAAGCTCATAGGGTCTTGCAGAGAGAACCTAGATTGTGCTAACATAAACTAAAATCTGTGAATGTTTTGGAGTCTTGAGCCAATACTGCAGTAGTAGCCACACAACTATTGCACGAGATTTGCACAAATCACACAGGGAGAGAAGAAACCTTAAAGGGTTTATGCTGTGTTTTTCTGCATTTTGCTGACCTAAATATAATGTCAAACATTCCAATAATAAAAGTATTATTAACCATAGGTAGGAATTCCTTATATTTTCTCATACATCTATAAAGCCTAGTTTGCAATGAACACATTTACAAGCTAAATTTAAATACAACTACAAAACCAATAAAATGAAATTAGCCAGGTTAATTTAATATTAATGATGCTGACTGGTTAAAATGAAATCATCTGATGATGAACAAGAGCATCACATGTTCTCTGGAAGTCTGCTTACCTATACTTTTCCTACTACTGGTTGAGTATTCCACACCCTAAATGCCTGGGATCAAGTGTTTCAAAACTGTGTATTTTTTTCAGAATTTGGAATTATCTGCATATAAATTAATAGATATCTTGGGGATGGGATCTGAGCACTTCACTTATGTGTCATATGCACTCTGTACATATGCTGAAGATAACTTTATACAATATTTTTAGTGCACTTGAGTTTTGACTGATCCATCACATGAAGCCCAGTGTGGAATTTTTTCTATTGGGGGCATTAGGTCAGCACACAAAAAATTTTGGATACTGGAGCATTTTGGATTAGTCTGCATTTTTCCTTTATGTGAATCAATTCAAAACCTTTCTGACTCTACTGGGTACCCAGAGATCACCTGGCCTTCGCTGGTCTTTCATGCATCAGTATTAAGCCTCTCCTCTTCTCCTTGGTCTGTGAAGAGCATGAGCTGGAGCCAAGAGGATTAAATATAAGCTCAGGGGCTCCCCAGATGAGCAGTATTTGCTTGTAAGAGAACTCACAACCCCCCAGACCACACCCATAAGCCCAGGCTGACAACTCTGATCCCATCTGATCATTCATGGCAACCCACTTCATCCTCCCTACTGTTTCTAGCAAATTCCAGTGCTAGCTCTGGTCACATGGGATAGGATAAACTTCAATACCATGCAACAGTTCTGAAACCAGGTGGAGAGGGTCATTTTCTTCCATAAGTTTAAGAGGCTAGTTCTCTTCAAAGTTGCCACCCTGGCTGGGGTCTTGTCACATCCCAGGTCTTCCTTAAGACACTTCCCAGAACTGAGCCAGACATGGCCTATGCACCTGATGGCCAATGGAAGGTCCAGGAGGAGAGGGGAGGATGAGCTCCTGAGGAGTGATTTCCCTCCTGAGCACTTTACTGCCTTCCCTTTCTCTCCAGTGCTTTTGGAGTACTTGGAAGGTGCCGGCAATATCCTAGGGGCTGGGAACTCAGTAGGGAGCTGACCAGATCCCTGCCTTGACGTCATTTACCTTCCATGGAGACTCAGGCAGCGAATAAGAAGGTGGCCACACCTAGCATCCAGTCGGTGGAAGCATAGGCAGACCGCAGAAGGGCTGCTCTGGATGGGTGGTTAAGGGATACTTGGAAGGATACTGCGAGGGCACCAAGCTGGTGTACACTGGGTGTGCTCAAGATCAGTAAAGAACCCAGTGTGGCTGGGTGGGAGGGAGGCGGGAGGTGCGGCAGAAGGGGCAGAGACCCAGGGCTTTATAGGACCTTGGCTTTTAATGGGGAGCTACTTAAGCAGGGTGACAAGAGGTAATAATAGATGCCTTACAAATCCATCCGGCTGAGGGAAACTTCTGGAGATGACAGCAATGATGGAGGCATGACACTGGGAACGAGCTTGAAGCCCCTGAAGTGTACTCTCAGAAGGGGTTAATGGGGTTTTGTGCCATGTGTATTTTAACACAGTAAGAATAAATAAAGCATTTAGAAAAGAATTTGCTTATAATTTTACTAAGTTTAAATAAAAAAAGTCTCTGTTGACTAGGTAGAGAATAGTCTGGTTGTGGCATAAGGGATGTGCAGAGGATCCTACAGTTGTGAATTCTACCTCCACCACAATCCCGTGTTTGTATTATCTTCTTGTGGCAGATGAGAGAACTAAGGCTCAGAGAGGTTAAATTACTTACTCAAAGTCACACACTAAATGGCAACATTTGGCCCCAGCCATACCCCCAGTGACTCAAGCTCAAATTGGGCAGCCCGGGCCTACCTGGACCTGCTTCTCTGACCCCGCATTTGATCAAAGCCAAAAAGTTTTATGTAAGTCGTTCAGCCACATCTTGCTGCCCCGTACTTGTGCCATGGTTTTTTTTATTCAAAGCCATATAGTTTTTATATGCCTGCATTTTAAAGATCTAGTTCAGGCCTCAAAATGCAGATCTAAAAGCTTCACTGCTTGGGGTTTCACACATGTGCCTTCTTCCTCCTCCTTTGGGATTATGCTTCCTGGGAGCACTCGGGTGTGTGTGTGTTACTGAGGAGTAAACCTCGGCCTTCACACTGAACCACACCCCCACACCCTTTTTTAGTTTTTAATTTTGGGAGAGGGTCTCACTAAGTCATTAATTTGCCCTGGCTGAGCATGACATTGAGATTCTCCTGCTTCAGCCTCCAAGAGTGCTTGGATCACAGTGATGCACCACCAGCGCAGCTATGGAGCACTCACTGCTTTTCAAGCCTTGGGAGCAGAGAGAAAGTGATTCTTAGGAAAACATGGTGCTCTGTGTGAACATCTTCTGATTGACAACTGTTAGCATGATTACTACGAGTCCTGGCTCCTCGAGATCTGGGGATACAGCAGCCTGCTGTCAGTCATGGCTCAGAAGCCCACATGCATGTGTGCCCACAATTCTTACAGCCTGGCAGCAGGCGGTAACTGTGACTGAGAAAACTAAAGCAGGAAAAGAGGCAGGAGGAATACGAGGGATGGTGGAATTATAATTTTAAACAAGATGCTTGAGGAAGGAACATCTCAGTGGCCTCCCAGGAAGTGAGGGCACACACCCTGTGGCAGGGAGCAGGGGGAGCTTGTCAGGTACAGCAGGGACAGAGGACTAACAAGCAGGGAGGCCCCTGAACTGGACCGGACCCAGGAGGACAAACTAAGGAGACAGAGTCAGTGAGGCGGTGGAGAGGACATGCAGCATCTTGGGCATTTACAGCAAATGTTTTTCAGCCTAGGGACAGGATCTGACTGAATATATATTTGCTGAATTTCAGAACTCATCCCGGGCCCAGTCAGAGGAGTTACAGGATTAAAAAATGACATTAGCTGAGTTCTACCAGGTCCAGGCCCTGTGCTAAGTGCTTTTAAGTCACTGCTGCTTATGAGCCCAGCAGGGCTGTTATGCCACTTTAGCCCAAGGCAGCAGCACTGACTCCTGCTGGAACCACGGCAGAAGCATCCTTTTAAAACATACACCACACTATGAGATACTCTGCCTTCCCCAGAAAGCCCTCAGCAGCTTTCCATCCACGAAGGCCCAGTCCCAACTCCATCCCAGCTTGCAGGGACCCGCTGAGCAGCTCTGACTCCACCCCTCCCATCCTTTCTAGGTGTTCACCCTGCAGGTTGCTCACAATGAAACAACCCTGCAGGATCTCCTCCAAAGCATGATTACCACCTGACATTATCCTGCTGGCCCTCGATTACCGCCCGACATTATCCTGCTGGTTTGACAAGCTATGTTTGCATATTTTCTGTCTTCCTTGAAGTCCCTCACATCTGGTGGTTGTCTATAAACCTTGGTTAAAAAAAGTGAATCAAGGAGAACTTAAGTAGCTCACGGAAAGTTACTCTTTCAAGTTAATCAACAAACTGTTGAACCTAAAACCTCAAATCCCTTTTCTGTGGTTCATTTAAAACATGCTGATGGAGAGAGGGCCTCCTCCTTTCTTACTCCACTGGGTACCCAGAGATCACCTGGGCTTCGCTGGTCTTTCATGATTCAATATTAAGCCTCTCCTCCTTTTCTCTTTGGTCTGTGAAGGGCATAAGCTGGAGCCAAGAGGATTAAATATAAACTCAGGGGCTCCTCCAGATGAGCAGTATTTGCTTGTAAGAGAACTCAAAGTCCCCCAGACAATACTTACAAGCCCAGTCTGACAAACGCTGATCTCATCTGATCAGGCACCGACTTTGGGATCCATATGGTAACAAGCAGGACAAATGGAAGTCCACAGCGGGGGCTTCTTATCATTTCTCCGCCCCTTTACCAGTGGGGCAGAGGCTATAGACCTCTCAAAATGCTATTATAAGCATAAAAATAGGAATTACAAAAGAAGCCAATTATACTGACATATAGGTAAGACTACTAAAAATCAAGTTTGTGATATAGTAGGTATATTTCTTGCATATCAATTAACAAGACTTAAACTGTGACAAATTTGCAAGTACTGCTAATTCTGCTGTGTCTGTTGATTACATTCATGATTAAGGAAACACCTACTTTTTGGCTGGAGGTTAGTGAAATAATTACATGCCTCGTTTCCAATTCCAGTTTGCCCTGCATTCTACCCAGGGATTCTGCAGCTGGTGAGCACTGGTGGACTGCAGGGGGAAGGCCTGGACAGCTCTCTTGGCCTCCAGGGCTCAATTCAGTTCAGAGCTTTGATAATACTTGGAACCGTTTTGAGATTTCAGGAGCAGAAGCGCTTCCTTCCGTATCCAGTACTCTTATGGAAGTCTAGAGCACTCTGGCCTATGTGCCAGCTCATCTATTTATTTCCTTTCTGGGAAATCAAAACTCCAGGAAGCAAAGGAAAATAAGAAAAGGAACTGTCACCTTAAAGAAAAAAAAAATTGACAAGACAGGGGTAATGGAAACAGATTTAAGGTTTTATTCTTGCCTCTTTAGGAAAACAATTACAGACAAAATTACCTAGGTACCACCTATTTTGTAAGTGTTGAAATTATAGGCTTGCTTTCATCTTTGAGAATGGTATTAAAGGCCAGGCATGTAGCTCAGTGGTACAGCACTTGCCTAACATGTGTGAGGCCCTGGGCTTCATCCCTAACACTGCTAAAAAAAAGTTCTATTAAAATTTGCAGAAGGAAAAATATTTAATTTAAGCATGTAGGTTAAGATTACCAAATAGTTTCAAATATGGACTAACCAAACTATTACTAATGCCATCATTCAGGGATAAGTATTTTCATTTGCTCTTTCACACATGACTCAGCTTTGCACAGTGTAAGACCATCCCATGAATCATAGCAGAGGTTAAGAGTCTGGGACAATCTTGATGTTGGCAGGCAGGGTTCAAGTACCACCCACACTACCTACCAGTCCTGCACCACAGGACAAGTGACCTCTCCTGCACCTGAGTGTGCACATTTGTGAACGGGAAGGACAGTGACACTTTCCTCATAGGTGTACCATGAGGATTAAATGAGTAAAGGCACTGCCACACGTAACAGTCATCATCTCTAATGGCACTTAGTCAACGGTGGTTACTGAGGCTAAAACTACCAAGAGCTCTTTCATGTGCTTCTTGGTCAGTGACCTAGTGGTTTTTTTCTGACTGTAAGAATGATAAGCACATGGTCCGTGAAGACACTAGAAAATACAAAGAAGTGTAAAGGATGCTACAGTCTCACTTCCACCCAACTGTATTCCCCTTTTCATGTGAACAAGGGAACAGAGTTTGAAAGGAGAGTAATACACTTTGTTCATCTTTTGGAGACATTTCCAATTTTGATGCAAGGGCTCTTTTTTTTTTCTGTCTGAATAAAAGTGTGTTTCATGCTTGACCTGGATTTGTTGTACCTTCTCCAGTACTTCAGAAATATTTAAATTTAGGGAAAACGAGTAATAACCACCCCACAGCACTTCAGTGCTCTCAAGGCTTTACTCCAGAATTCTGGGAGAAGAAAAAGGTGTACATTATTTCACAACATATTGGAAATTACAATAAGTCTAAAGAATACCACTGTTATAGGAACGAAGAAAGGCCCCAAGGCTCCTTCTGGGCTGGCACACAATGACATACGTCAGTCCTAACAGATGGAGAAAGAGAAGTGAGGGATGAGTTTAAGTGTACTCTTGAATCCAGGGACGCTAATAACCTTTTCAAAATTTAGCAAATACATTTTTATAAAATGGAAAACAACATCCTGCAATCCAATCTGATTAAAATGACAGGGATTTTTTATTTAAAAAGAATCTTTAAGGAAGAGGTCTGGCCAGTGTCTTACAAATGTTTTCTCCCCAGCACCTCCTCATTCTTTACTGCTCAGAATGAGTCTGTCCTCTTCATTGCTGGCACCTGACAGATGTTTCGCCCACTGCATGATGGCACACACCTGTAATCCCCATGCTCAGGAGGCTGACGCAGGAGACTGCCCTGAGTTCAAGGCTAGCTCAGACCACCACCACCACCAAAATCCTGACTAAAAAGAAAAAAATAGGGTTTTATCCAGATTGAGGAATCTTTACATTTGGTCCCTTTGCTGTCTGTGGAACCAGGACCTGCTTGTGGGTGTTTAAAAACCCACGATTTTTCCACTACTGGGGACTCAACCCACACTTGCATGGCTCACTCTAACAACGAGCTAAATCTTTAAACCCCTCGGAATGTTTTAAAGAAAACTCATATGTTTAATCCATCAAAAACTCTTATCGCATTCCTTCCGACTTTTTTTTTTTTGTACCGGGGATGGAACTCAGGACCTTGAGCGTCAGGCGCTATGTCACTGAGCTAAATCCTTGGCCCCTGATTCATTTCTAAATGCCAATTTAGGGTGCATCTCAAAGACAGAAAGACGCTGCTCTACTTGTACGGTGAGGCATAGTGTCTGGCAGCCCCCAATCCGCCAGTCCGAGTTTTTCAATCTCTGTCCTGAATTCAAAGTAGAAAAAAACCTGTAACAGGTCTCGCAATCTCTGAATTAATTCTTTTTGATCCCAAGGACTTGCATTGAATTTGGTCTTGAAGTCGGGTGAAAGCCAAACGGACAGGGTCTGCCTAAAACACGCCACCCTCAGCCACCGCCGCGGTGCGGGTCCGGAGCGTCCGTGCCACACCACAGTCGCCGGCTTTGTCCTGACCACGAGGGGTCGGGGGAGGCAAGCGCGCGCGGGAACCAGAGGTACCAAGCGCGGGCCCCACGAGTTCCGGGGACCTCCGGTCGGACGGACGTGAGCCCCTACCTAGAGCGCGCAGGGGAGGGGAGTTGGGACAACGAAGGCCGATCTGTCGCCCGGGGACCAGGCCTAAATCGGGTGTGCTACTTCCCAAGAGAAGCTCCGAGCAGCGCGTCTGCGCTGGTGGCGGGCTCCCCCGGCTCACGGACGCCCCTGCTGCCCCCTGCCGGCTGCGCGGAGCAGGACACCGCGGTTACCTCTTCGGTACATCAAAGGCGCGCTACATAGTTACGCTTTCCAAGTCTATTTAGAAGCATGTCTAATTCATTTTTCCAGTTTAGCAAGACTCACCCTGAGTTATTTCCTACCTCCTTTCTTGCTGTGAGTAGAAGCACATCTCTATGTGTGGAAGGCCCTGCAGGCCAGTGATTGTCTCCTTAGACCGAGCATGCTCAGGTCCAGCTCTGAGCAGCCAGAAGGATGTCAGCTCCTGCCAAGACTGGCCTTAATAGAGTGGTAATAAACAAACACAGCAGACAGCATAGTATGAGAGCACAGCTTCCGAGCAAAGAAACCCTCTCTTCAAAGTGCTGGAAGATAACTGCAATTAGGAGACAATTTCAAACTCTTTTTAAGGGTTTTTAATGATATTTTATAAAAGAGACATAGCCTCATATCTTTTGTCTAGTGGTTAAAATCTTTAGTGTTGAAATTAAAAGAAAGTAGAGAATGAAAGTCTTTTCTTTATTAGGAGAATAATTTAGAGTATATCTATTGCTTGACCTTACTACTCATTATGTTTCCATTAAAGGCATTACTAGGCTGCAGCGGGTGCCCCGACCCGGCTAAGCGGACACGCGGGCTCCTGGGGCGATTGAGCGGAAGCCTGCAAGACCGCGAACCTGAAGTTCGGCACCACAGGGCCTTTCTCCGGGAAGAGGCGGAAGCGTCACTAATCGTCCCACTTTGCTGTACTTAGCTACGTTGAGGCTCATTGGCATGTTAGAATATCACGGAGTCACTGGCGGGATGGGTGTGAAGATGAGAAGCACGAACAACTGTCTGTGGTGACGAAAAAGTGAAAAAAGCTGACTACAAATGCATAGGATTGCGAACGGATGAGTGTGGATTAAAAAAGGCAGGCCAAACACAGAAATGAGTAGTGGTATCAGCATGTTGGGAATGTGTACGATATGACCATGTAAAGTGGGAAATCGTCAGAGTAATTGCGCATGATAAAAAAAAGTAGGGAAAGCCCGGGGTGGTGCACACACTTGTAATGCCAGCACTTGGGAGGCTGAGGCAGGAGGATAGAGAGTTGAAGGCTGGCCTAGGGTACGAAAGGACTCCCTGTGTCCATACACCCAAAATAACAAGAAGAAAAGCCCTGAAAACCCCTAAATAAAGTCAGAAACGTAGGTAGCTAATGATTGTACTTCAGCAGCAGTCCCCTTCCCATTAGCTCCAGTCCTAAAAGCAAAGTTAGCTCCCTGAGCTACTTCTGACCTCTGCTGCCATGTACTGGCAGTGCTAGTTCTTGACTCATCAGTTTTAATATTGATTATCTGTCACTCATAATGGAAATGCAGCTCTTTTAGGTACTTAAAAGTCTTTAAATTGTCAATTTCCGAAAATATTAGTGGATGCCTGCCATGTGGCTGGCCCCTTTGTGGACATTCAGGGTAGAGAGGGTTACAGGACAAAATCTTTAGCTGCCTGAGCTTGCAGCCTTGAGATAAGGTGAGGGTTGGGGAGGGGAGAAGGGAGAGGCAGTCAGCTTTGTCCCTTACCCCAGTGAGATACCCTGTGTGTGGGTTGAATATACATCAGGGAACTGTGTAGGCCAGATAGTGGGACTTGAGAGATCCTTTGGATGTTTTCTTCTTTTTTCTTGTTTTGTTTCTTGGTACTGGGGATTGAACTCAGGGCCTCACATGCTGGGCAAATGCTCTACCACTGTACCCTCAGACTGCTTTGGAAGTCGGATGTGCAGGTTTTTAGAGTCTAGCTTTTTTTTTTCCATTAAGTTTATTGGTACATTTAAAGCAAACAACACAGTTACATTTGTCATTGGGATCTTGTAACTTTACATGATGTATCTTGGTTCTTGTTTTTTCCACATACCCCTGTCTTCCCTTCACCCCCTTCAGGATTCCTTATTTACAAAGACTTTGTTTCCTTTTGTCACTGTTTTTCTTTTCACTTATTTCCTCTCCCCTCCCCTTCCCAATTCCCCTTTAGCCGTTTTCTTTTTATTTCGCACTATCAACAATACCATATGAACCTTCTTTACACTTTCAGCTTTTCACACCAGAGAAACTGTTCAGTATTTACTCAAGTGTGTCCTATTCATTTCACTGAAGAGTATGGCCTCAATGTGCATCCATTTAGCTATAAATGTCTCTAGTTTCTCATTCTTTATACCTGAGTAGTACTCCATTTTATAGAAAAACCACATCTTCTTTATCCAGTCTCTAGTTGATGGGCATTTGGATTGTTTCCAAGTATGAGCTATTACAAACTGTGCCACTATAAACATGGGTGTGCATATATCACTGTGGTATGATTCTTTTAATTCTTTTGGAAAGATACCCACAGAGGGATAGCTAAGTCAAATGGAACCTCTAATCCTAGTTGTGTGAGGTATTTCCATATTAATTTCTACATTGGTTGCACCAGTCTGCACTCCACCAACAATGGAGAAGGGTTCCTTTCTCCCCACAACCCCACCAACATTTGTTATTGGTTGATTTCTTTTCTTTTCTCTCTCTCTCTCTCTCTTTTTTTGGTACCAGGTTCGAACTCAGGTCCTTGTGCTTGTAAGGCAGGCAGTGGCACCACTGAACTAAATCCCCAGCCCCTGTTTGATTTCTTGATAGCAGCCATTCTTTCTAGGGTAAGGAGGAATCTCAGTGTTGTTTTCATCTGTGACTCTCGAATGACCAGAGATATTGAATATTTTTTTCATATATTTATTTGCTGTTTTTACTTCTTTGAGAAAGGTCTGTTAATTTCAGATGCCCATTTTTGAATCAGATCTTTGTATTTGGGGGAGTCTGATTTTTTGAGTTGTTTATATATTTTAGATAGTAGTCCTTTGTCTGAGGAGTAGCTGGTAAAAATTTTTTCCCCACATTGGAGGTTATCTCTTAGCTCTATTGGTGATTAATCTTGCACTGCAAAAACTTTTTAATACAATGAGATCCCAGTTGTTTATTCTTTGTGCAAGTTCTCGTGCTGCTGAGGATTTGTTCATAAAGTCTTCTCCCATGCCAATGTCTTCGAGAGTTCTACCTAATTTACTTTCCAGCAAGTTTAGTGTTTCTGTTTTGATAGTTAGATCTTTAATCCACTTGGATTTTAGTTTAGTGCATGATGAAAGATAGGGATCTAGTTTTAATCTCTGGCAAGTTGAAAGGCAATTTTTTCAACACCATTTATTAAAGAGGCTAGCTTTCCTCCAGTGGGATGGTTGGCTCCTTTGTCAGAGATGAGGTAGCTGAGTGTCGTTTCTGCATATTCCAATCTATTCCTTTGATCCTCAGGTCTGTTTTTTTGCTAGTATCATGCTGTTTTTTTACCACAGTAGCTTTGTAGTATATGTTCACCTTGGGAATTGTGATACCCCCTGCCATGTCTCTGTTGTCTAGAATGATTTTTGCTATTCTAGGTCTCTTCTGGTTCCAAATGAATTTTTGGATTGTTTTCTCTAGTTTATGAAATATACTGTTGGGATTTCAATAAGGATTGCATTGAATTTGTATAGAAGTTTTGGAAGTATGTCCAATTTCACTATGTTGATTCTTCCTACCCAGGAGCAAGGGATGTCTTTCCATTTTCTTATATCCTCTTCTATCTCTTTTTTTTAGAGTGCTGTCTTTTTCACTGTAGAAGTGTTATGTCTCCTTTGTTAGATTGATTCCTAGTTATTTCATTTTTTGGATGTTATTATGAAAGGAATTTCTTCCGTATTTTCTCTCTCATTGAGTCTGTTATTTGTGTACAAGAAGTCTATTGATTTTTGACTGTTGACTTTGTATCCAGCTACTCTACTGAAACTGTCAATTAAGTCTAGAAGTCTTTTGGCAGAGTTTTTGAATGTTCTATGTAGAGTATAATATCATCAGCAAATAGTGACAGTTTAGCTTCTTCCTTTCCTATCTTTATTCCTTTTATTTCTTTCTCTTGTGTAATTGCTGTGGCTAATGTTTCTAGAACTATATTGAACAGGAGTGGTGGCAGTGGATATCCTTGTCTTGTTCCTGATTTTAGAGTGAAGGTTTTTAGTTTTTGATTATTTAGAAATTATTAGCTGTTGTTTTTTCATAGGTAGCCTTTATCAGGTTGTGATAAAGACCATGTATTCCAACTGTCTGCAGGGTTTTTATCATACATGTGTGTTCAATTTTGTCAAATGCTTTTCTGTATCTATTGAGATGGTCATATATAGTTTTTGTCCTTAATTGTTAATATTAGTGTATTACATTTATCAATTTACATATGTTGAACCATTCTTGCATCCCTGGGATAAATCCAACTTGGTCAGGGTGTATGATCTTTTTGATGATCTTCTGTATTCTGTTTGGTAATATGTTATTGAGGAGTTTTGCATCTATGTTCATTAGAGAGATGGGCCTGTAGTTATCTTTCTTTGTTTGGGTCTTCTCTGGTTTTGGAATCAAAGTAATACTTGCTTCCAGGAATGAATTTGGGAGTATTGCTTCCCTTTCTCTTTCAGTGAAAAATTTAAAGAGTAATGGCAATAGTTCTTCTCTAAATGTCCTGTAGAATTCCACAGTGAAACCATCAGGATCTGGGCTTTTCTTTGTTGGTAATGTTGTAATTACATTTTCAATTTTGCTGAATGTAATTGGGATATTTAGATTTTTTTTTTATCTTCTTTGTTCAACTTGGGAAGTTCATATGTGTCTGGGAATCTGTCCATTTCTTCTGTATTTTCCATTTTTTTAGAGTATAGGTTTTTCAAAGTATGTATTGATGATCTTCTGGATTTCTGGTGGATCTGTCATTACTTCACCTTTTTCATTCTGAACTGCATGAATTTGAGCCTTTTCATTCCTTTTTTTTTATAAGGTTGGCTAAGGATTTATTGATTTTATTTAATCTTTCAAAAAACCAACTCTTCAATTCATTGATTTTTTTGTGTGTAATTCTCTTGGTTTCCATTGCATTAATTTCTGCTCTGATCTTTATAATTTCCTCCCTTGTACAAGCTTTTGGTTTGTCTTGCTCTTCTTTTTCTAGGAGCTTAAGGCAAAGCACTAGATTATTTATTTGAGCTCACTCTGTTTTCCTAGTTTGGGCATTCACTGCTATGAATTTCTCTCACAGAACTGCTTTTATTGTGTCCCATAGATCCCTGTGTGTTGAATTGGCATTATCAATTAATTGTAGAAACTGTATAATTTCTTCTTTAATTTCCTCTGTGACCCAATGGTTGTTCAGTAGGGTGTTATTTAATTTCCATGTGTTTGTGAAGTTCTTGTGGTTTCTTAAGCTGTTGATCTCCAGTTTAATTCCACTATGGTCAGCTAATATACAGGAAATAACTTCAATTCCTTTACATTTACTTAAGCATGTTCTATGAGCTAGCATGTGGTCTATTTTAGAGAATGACCTGTGAGCAGCTGAAAAGAATGTATATTCTGATTTTTGGGAGTGGAACACTCTGTAGACATCTACTAACTCTATTTGTTCTAAGACTTGGTTCATTTCTGTTATTTCATTTTTGATTTTTTGTCTAGATTATCTGTCTATTTGTGTCAGTGGAGTATTGAGGTCCCCTACTATGATTGTATTAATGTTTCCTTCATTTTTCATATCTATTAATATTTGTTTTATATAGTTGAGGTCCTTATTATTCAGTGCATATATATTTGTGATTATCATTTCTTCCTCTTGTATTTGTTCCCTTTACAAGGATGTAGTGGCCTTCTTTATCTCTCCTAATTAGTTTTGGTTTGAAATCTGTTCTGTCTGC